AGAATCAGAGGTGCTAGTTTCAAATCCTTTTTAGTCTGAAATCTGTATGCTAGATATTGAGTAAGGTGGTTTTATTGTTTTTTGTCACTTTGAATAATATTTCTGTTCATGTTAAAAACAAAATCAACTCTCTGTATAAATATATCAGGTGACCGTTAAGGCCCATGGGCCTCTTGTTCAATTAGCAACCCTCTGAAATATGAAATGAAAACATGTGTAATATCCTTTTTATCACATACCGTAAAAACCCATGTAATTTGCGCACTTTTTTTCCAGAAATTTAATACCCAAAGTGGGGGGTGCGTAAAATACACAGGTATAGAAAATTTCAAGTTTTTTTCAGGAAGATCGACGATTCTGGGAGATCGCCATTTTGGATTAATTCCCTTGGTACACGTAACTCTAATTAAAACAAATGACGATCAACAAATATATTTATTTCAAACATTAATAAAAGATACATAATGTGTTGTTATGTGAGTTTATGTGGAAAATATTATTAAATAGGTAACCGTGAACAAAAAAAGTGTAGCCAAATTCCTATGCCAGAGAATCGCCGATCAACTTACGACATTACGTTTCGACATCTCGGTGCGTTTCCCCATACTATTACGAAAATGTAGTGGTTCAATTTAAGCTCCGTTCCATGAAAGATCTGTAAGGTTTTTTCAAATCGCCTATGCGTAAACGTATAGCATGTTTTTTTCCGGCTCACTTTCATGTTGATCTCGCGTCTAACATTACGTAAACACGTGATTGATAATAACCTCGTGAATTATTTCAATATTTATTAAATGAAGCATCGTAAAAATAGTCTGCGTTAACTATTTTTTTCCTTGGAGTAGATTTGAAGAGGATGTATTGATTGTCCACGCTTCTAGTATAAACATATTTTTTATAATCCCTTATCAGTCAAATCAGTCTGTTGTTATGACAATGCAGTAGGGCTTCGTAATTCACGCCACGTGTTGGTGAGTGAAAAAACAACAACACGGTCCGTCGATCGCGACTGCAAATCATTTCAATTAGTAGAGCTATTGTTAACGGGTAATCACAGAGATAGTGTTAGCTAATTACTGCATTGTAATTTGTAAAAAATATCGCCAAACCACGGACTTAGATAATCTAATTCCGTGGCCAAACTGAACTGTGACATGACCTGGTTTGAAGTGACGTAACCCAAGCCGCCATGATGAGCCCTTCTCACTGATCGTAATTATGATCAATAAAAGGTATCTAATTATGTCTTTCACCAGGAGATATGCACCAGCGGTTACTAAACATCGAATTACTTATTAATTGATATGTTTTTGTAAGCAAGTAAATGTTTTATGTAAAATATTGCTAAAATGAATTGATGTATGCCAATATGCGCACACGTGTGTGTCATGTGTGATCAGATAATTAAAAGAAAACAAGCAACAAAATACACATTTTACGTAGTTTCTTCTTGGTTTTAAATATTATTTTACATCAATGAAAAAAAAATCATAGAAATATATTTTTATTTTTTTTATTCATGGATCGATTTTCGGAGCATGAACATCGTTTTTTTTCCAGATTTTTTGGGTGCGCAAAATATTCGAGTAGAAGCTTTTTTCACGATTTTCAGCCTCAAAAAGTACCTGCGTAAATTACACAGGTGCGCAAATTACATGGGTTTTTACGGTAATCAAGATTTGTGTCATTTATGCATGTAAAATGACTATTTTCATTTACATGAAATGTAAAAAGACGCTATTTTGACTCCAGTGCGTAAATCTGTGATGTCATGTACTTGTCCTAGGCGTGACGTCACAACTGAAACAATTGAAACTTACAACCAATCACAAGTCATATTACATGGGTTAATAAATACGCAAAAAAATATGACTTGGGTATATTCACTGGATAACACAGTACATTATGTGATAAATTGTACTACCCATCAAAAAATTACTAAAGTGTTTTTGATTACAGAAATGCTAGCCAAGTTTACTGATGTTGAGAAATTGGAGGGAAAGATTTATTCTTGTGAAAAGTGCAACAGTAAGTATAAAAATACGATATTTAGATAAGACTCTTACAAGACCGCAGTGTGTGTCTAAATAAACATTATACTATAAATCACATGTAGCATACAGGACCAGTATTGAGCTTGCCAAGTTACTTGACAATGATAATTTCTCATTTCTAATGGAGTCAGCTGATGTTGGAAGTAGCGTGTCAGTTACAGTTATTGAAAGTCATTGTCAACCAAACAAACAATCGGTAATACAAGAATGTATAGGTACTGCAACTGGAAATCACTTAAAATTAATTATTCCTATAACAAAAAAACATGTGTAGCTTGATTAATGAAATGTTTAGTTGTCTTTACTATCATCAAATCACACCAAAGTTCAGTAAAATTGAGCCTTTTAAGTAAAACTGTAACAGATGAATGTGATGCTAAATGGAGGCACGGTAGTCTAGTGGTAGGACGCGGGGCAGGTGACCAAAGGGTTGCAGGTTTGAGTCACGGCACGGCACTGTGTTGTAGCTTTGAGCAAGATACTTAACTCCGCTTGTTCCAGTCTACTCAGCTTTAAATGAGTACCTGGTTGAGCAGTGCTAGAATTGTAGAATGATAGCTGTGAGCGCCGAAATGGCAGCACCGGCTGTATGGTCCCCATGGAGTTGAGAAAGATATTGGCTGGGTGCAAAGGCCCTATAACCACGGATAATATTTTGTGAACTGCTTTGAGACGACCTACGAACTAGGTTGTGATGAAGCGGTATTTAGAACCTCAAATTATTATTGTTATTATTACTCCCCAGAGAACAGACGGGGAAGGTGTCCAGCTAAGGTGGTGTACTCAGAAGCTGAGAAACAAATTCTGGTGAAGAAATTACCTGATGTTCTACGCCTCCATCTAAAGAGGTTCAGGTACATACAGCCCTTTTCTCTTTTACACAAACTAAAGTTGTTTCAAATGTGGAGATGTCATTTGAGACAATTTTGGCCCTGGTGTTCACTATTAGCGATGCTGGTTCAAAAGATCAAGATGAGATTAAGCCATACCAGCACATACGTAGTCCATGACTTTTTCTCATAAACCACTGATTGGAATTTAACCAAGGGGGGTTCAAAATTGAACAGATTTAATATTGGAGATGAGGTTCAGGGCCAAGAAGGAGTAATTTGGCCATATTGTTAAAACAAGTCTTTATCTGGAACTATGAGATCGATATTAACCATATTTGATTGAGGCATTCTTGGAGGTAGGGACCTCCAAATTGTACAAATGGAAGGGTTGATCACTGGGAGACTGGGGGTGGGACCAGTTAGGGAAATTTGGCTATGTTGCTTTAAGTGACTTCTTTCCTGGAATTAGGGTTGTCTGGTATCCTTGATACAACAATATCCAAAGTATACTATCATCATCTTCAGGTGGTCCGGTCGTTTCCATCGAGAGAAGATCCTGACACATGCTGCGTTTGATGAGACATTAGACTTGAAACCATTCTGTACTCCTGTAAAGGGAAGGAGTGAGGCCTACCAGTACCAACTACAGGGGGTGGTCATTCACCATGGCAAAGGATTTGGATGTGGGCACTACACATCCTGTTGTTGGAATGTCGATGCAGGTCAGTGCTAGAATCCAAATGAATCAATTATTGTATATATTTGAAAATATTATCAGATTCTGTGTCGTTGATGGGACAACAGCTTTGCAAGTTGTGTCATTCAAATAGATAATAAATGCCATACAAAAACCAGTTAAATGCTTGAATATCTCTTTAGACATCACACGTATGATGTGTTAGTTAGGACATGTACATAAACAGGTTTATTCAGATAGCCTGTCATTGTTAATTACATGTATTAAATATACGGTTTAATTTCTTGTAGATTCCTGGGTGGACTGCAATGATGCCAGGATGCGGCTTTGTCAGTTAGAGGATGTGCTGCTCAGTCAGGCTTATATACTCATCTACACAAAGATCAAACAGACAAACAATAACGCGTGCTCATCAGAATCCCACTGTACAGATTATCAAATGACAGACTCGCAAAGTACAGTGGCCTCCGACAGTACGGAGAAATACAACCTCAGTGAAGGGGAGTTCACTCCTCCTCTTAGACGCCTCAACTCCTCACAAATAATTGACAGGGAAATCACCTTCAACTTCCTCACCCCTGTCGTCCACTCAGGTGCTCCACTGTCAGTGGGCGTGAAACGGGCAAGTCAGGACAGCGAACAGAACATAAGTGAACGGGTGATTAAACGACGACGATCCATGTTGTGGTGAAACAGTATTGACGAGATTTAGGACAGAGACCATTCAAAATTGTTGTGAAGAAGAAAATTTACATGTAATCTGCAATTTTGCTCAGAAGTTTTTTCATGACTTTTAGACCTTTATTAATGCTCTGTTTATTGTCTTGTGAAATGAATATCTTATTTTAACTTCTTGAGTTTTAAATGAAATTCAAATTTAGGGATTTTTTATACAAATGAAATATGAATTCCTAAGGATTTCTTATAAGATGTAGTATAGGCTTCAATGATACGTATAAGATGTAGTATNTATATATTAAGTTCCAACAGTGATCATTGGCAGTTTAAAAAAGAAAAACTGAGGAGTCCAATATGTTTTGCAACACTGTCTAGTTGTGTTGCAAGCATAACACACATTTGACCTTTGGTCAGTTACTTTTCACCTGATCGAGTTTCCTTAACAATCATCAGATGTCTCACAATTACTTTTGTGATTGTCAAGTGTTTTTTTATTGTCCCATTAATCCAACCAAGTCACTGTCTAGCCTTTTTTGCTGGGAACAAATGTGGCAGGATTATGGAGACTCGCCTCTATCTACGAATGTCATCACTTCAGAAATTATTGTACCAGGTGTCATCAGGTATAGGGTGCCATCATTCACAACAAATGGATGATGCATAACCATGTACAGATTTACAGCACTCCTTAAAATGTGGTCATGTGTTATTAGTTCACCTGGCCCAAAGGATTTCCAAGGAGACACCAAGATCCCTCCCCATATACTAGGGGGGTGACAGATCTATAACCGTGTATGCAGGGCATGCAACTACAAGGAAAAAACATAATCATGCTATCAGGATTGGCTCCAGGGTCTGTTTTTGCCATTGGGGATTTGGTTCCTGGGTTATAACATGAAATTTGTTAAGATCCCCACCCTATAACCATATATACAATTGCTGGACTTGAGGAGACAAAATGTACATTTTTGCTACCAGGATTGGCCCCGAGGTGTACTGGCCCAACTTCCTGATTCACTTCCTGGGTCATCACACAGAAACAGTTGAAATCTCTACCTTGCACAATTGATTGGCATTAAGGATTGAAGAAACTCGTGCTACCACAATTTGTCCAGGGTCACGCCCAACCCATGGGGACTTAATTTCTAGGTCATGACATAGAAACAGTCGAGATCCCTACCCTATAACCATACCAAATATATACATATAACCATACCAAAGATATACATTTTCAGGACATGAAGAGATATACATTCATACTATTGGGATTTATTAGAAGTTATACCAGGTATAAACAAAATTTAAACTTTCCATTGGGTCTCTTTGCATAATAATATGAAAACCAATCTGTTGACAGAACGAGTTACAGTTCTTGGGAAATATTTAATGTTATTTATTTTAAATGGGACCTATTATGGTAGGGGCAGCATTCATTCATCATTATTATGGATTCTATAAGATTTCTCGACTAAATCCAAGAACAAACTTGAGCAGAATTCATTCATAATTTATAAGCATATTACACTCCGATTGGCCAACGGTTTCTGCATAATAACGTATGCAAATATGGTCAGATTCCATAGAAGCTATTTCAATATTTGTTTTATAAAGCCAAAGGCTACTCAAGTTCAAAGTTGAGCAAATCTTTGCATAATTAATTTGCATACTGCATTGTGAAAAGTGGACCATTTCTACCCAGCAACTTCAACCAAATATAACCTATTCTGATGAAATTTGGGTCATTATACTTAACAAAAGCAAGGCTTACTTTCAATAAGAGCCAAATATGTGTGTAATTAAGAAACACTTGGGGAGTTTTAAATGTTAAAGATGAATCAATTATGGGCAGACGAGGCTATTCCTACGCATATAATTTTTTTATGGTTTGAAATAATTTCTAAATATTATTTGACTTTATTTTGTATGCATTCCTTCAGCTAGTGATGTTAAAAAAAAATGTTTTTCCTATGACATCCCAGAAGTAATTCAATTTAACTAAGTAATGTCGTACATATGTAGGTTCTTCTTGATCTTCATATATTTTAATACAAGAATACATCAGAAGTATTGGAAGTGTGTTAAGTTTTGTTAAGAGGTTTGTATTGTTCTATCCCTGAGGTACTCGTAAGTGCTATGCATTAATTAAACAGATGGGTTGTTTAGCAAAGTTACAATGCAGGTAAACTATAGATGTTGTTGCATTCTGAATTGTCATATGGATGGAATTTGCAAAATGCTCAAGAAAAAATTTAAAGATAAATGAAGATAATTTTTGACCTTATTTGGTTTCCATGACATTTAAATAAGCTGGGTTTTACTGGGAAGAATCAAAATGTTACTTTTAGAATTGAAATGTGGATAAATTTTTACAAATTGCACAATCATATATCATGTATCATTATGCTATTTATCATATCAAAGTGTTCCCATAATGTGTGTCCAGATGCCAAATGATTTTAGTAGTTGTAAAATTAGTCCATCTATTTTTGTAGTATTTGTATTGTCAATCAATAAAATCCATTTTTGTATGGATAATTACATTGTTTGGTGCTTCTTCAATCATAATTACTTTCCCTGTGAATACAGAATTAGCTTTAGGTACTAGACAATAAAAACACTTGTGAAAACTCCTACAATCTTCCCCTTTGTCAGGATGTGATGGATAAATCTCACTTGGATGGGTGATATTTGTGATACCCTAGGGGTGACAGAGAATTCATCACCTAGGAGGTGACACAGAAATCATACCCCAGGCGGTGACAGAGAATTAATCACCTAGGATTTGACAGAAATCATATACTAGGGGGT